TATTCAGAAACAAAACAAAGAGGACATTGGTTCAACTATAATTCCAAATTTCTAGCTTTCCAAACTAGCAATGCAGAAGTAGAGAGAGCAATCTAGGAGCAAGAGCGTGCACGGCTCCAACACTTCATAACAAAGGGCACTGAAGTCTCAATTACACTTTGGGTGCTGAAAGCATAACGACCATGCCAAAGTTTCAACAATACACAAGATAAAAAAGAAAACTAAAACAAAGGGGGGGCGGAGGTGCCTGCTTAGAGATATAGAGGATTCCAGGGAACAAGGATTGGAGAATGCTTTAGATAAAGATTCTTCATTGTTTCAGTATCATCATTTAATCTGTATGGAAGCAGGAACAATAAGTATTTATCAAAAATGACTGAAAGGTTACTGTAGTTTCAATAAATATATATCCTTGAGTCTTTTTCTGAAATGCTATTTCTCAAATAATTCTCAGTACATTAAACAAATATCTCATACCTTTAAACTAACAATACTATTTAACAAAACCAGTAAACAAAAATTAGGCCTTATCAGATCTTAAACTTCCAGTGTATATAAAAACACATTAACTAAAAACAAGATGCTATGCTGATCTATTACTAGAGTCCAACACCTGAAAAGATCCAGAACCGTACTGTACCTCAGAACACTAAGCAACAAATTCTACCCCAGAATGTGTGCATGTGGGACAACCCCACAAGTAGCATTTGCCTCTAAACATGGTGAAGACATTTATATTATGTAATCTTGGTAAGTAAAAAGAAAGGTACAATTTACAGCATAACTACCCTGCAATATTTTGTATTCCAATTCTCTGCCTCAATAAAAGTAATATGCATTGCAATAATGCAAGACTCACAAATAGCACTTTTCTTCTGTTATGACATGCTATATTAGTATTCAACTTTGCTGAGAACATTTTGTAGTTCGTGTGTCAATGGCTGAACCTAAACGTATGAAGACATAATTTAAGCTTGTAAAAATTATTGCACCAGTTTATTTAAAGCTGAATTAATTTTAAAATCCTTTTGCTGTACATAAAACAAGAGTGGGTGACAAATTCATTGAATAATCTTGCTCTGAAAGGGCTTTTTAGAAAAAAGTGGTCATTTTATTTAAAATTCCTAGTACTCAGTCTTATTAAACTTTAATGTAATCTGCTGATATCTCTATGTACTCATGAGGGGCACCCTGCCCGTTAGTAAAGCAATATTAATCTTCCTCCCTCTTCTTTTTTAGGTTCTCCTTATCCAAAGGTGACCAGCTCCGGAGCATGCAGTATGCTGTTGAAATGATAATCAATCACAAATACTCATGACAAATAGAGCTTGCATTTGTTAACACTGCACTGTTTGGCAAACTTAGTTTTTAATATATGAATTACCAAAGCCCTGGAACACTAAATACTTTGCAAAACTGAAGAATATGTCATTCTAAAGCGGACACTGTAATAGTATACATAACCTAGTAAATATACCACTGCAGTACATAGAGCATTAAACCCTACAAGCTCTATTTATATAAATAATCAATATGTCTATTCATGTGAGAAAAGCAAGCAGAATATGACTCAGTATCATCAGAGGCATCATTAACAAAATTTTATTCTATGCATGAGCAGCAACCCCAAAGCAGGCTTTCCATTCTTTAATGCTGCTTTTTCTTTGAAATCCTTGCAAACATGTAATTAACTTGAAAAATTATATTCCATAAATTTAAGTTAACATAGCGCTTTTTAAAGTTGTTGGGGTAGCAGAAAGTGAAAATGAAGTGCTCTATTCACAGGAAAAAAGATACAAGACAGTGATAACACAAGTTTTTCTACATAGCCCAACCATGTCTCTAACTTTCAAGAACCATGCCAGTTCAATACTCAAGTCCACTAAATACTCTGTGAACTAGGGATGTAAAAACATGTTTAAAATAACTGTGTATAACCTCTGTGATTTTCAGCAGAGTTGCTGCAGGTTTGCCGGAAGCAAGACTGGCATGAGCTGCTGCTGACCTTGCTCCTGGGAAGGAGACTTTGCTGACATAGCAAAGCTGCCTCTCTGGGAGTGGGGCCAGAGCTGCTGCCAGCCCTTCTCCTGGGGAGGCTTTGCTGCAGGATATGCAGCTGGCTCCCTGGAAGCCCCAGGGAGACAGTGTGTAACCTGTTGCAGGGAGGGGCAGAGGGGGCCACCATGGACAGGGCTACTTCGACAAGCCTCACAAGGCTGCAGTAGCCTCTTGCCCAGGACAGATTGGTAGCTACTCTAGCCCCTATCAGTTAACCACAACCAGTAAGCCTCACCCATTTTACATCCCTACTGTAAACAGCATAAAACGTCAACTATAATGGTGCTATAATATGCACTTATCCACTGAGAACATATTTCAAGTTCTTTGTACACAATACTTTCCAGTTTGCAAAAAAAGGCCAAGATGTCATAAACACTAACCTAAAATTCTAATTCGGTTATATTTTCGCTTGATTAAATTAACGAGTCTCAGCCACCATGTTTCTGCAAGGCAACTGTTTTTCAGAAATTTAAAGTGAAAATGTACTTTATCTGCTGTTTCTTCCTTACAGAAATTTTATTTTAAAGTTTTCTGTTTTCAGATCATTTTGATCATTACATTTTATTTGGTTAACCAAATGAAAAGGCTATATAGACATGCACAGAATAACCCAGTTGCTGTTTATTTCAAACATTATACTTGCTGTAAGGTCTGAGTCAAACTCTTTAATATTCCAGGTCTGAAAATAACATACCCATACTGTGGACCACCTGTTTTAATATCTCCTATGGTGACATGAACATCATCCTCATCATCATCACTGTCACTGTCACTGTCATCCTCAGCCTCTGTTGTCTTCTTCAACAAAAACAGACAAAAGAGATACCATCAGGCATTTACTAAAAAATCAGACTTAAGCATCCATTCCAGAGATCTTTGGTGAAAAAAAACATTAACAAGTCAGTTTATACTTTTTGGCTTACAGCTGGCATCTACAGCTTAGCACGAAGGATCCTTATAGGACAACCAAACATATCAATTGAGTCTATATGAACACAGATGATATCTGGATGCAAAGGGGGTAAGAAAACTTAAATAGCTTGAATGTCAACAGGCTATTTGTGAAGTTTAACATTCTGAAGAAAAAGTGGTTATGGTTAGGGTGATGCTTACTGGTTAACCAGCGACCAGGCTGGAACAGCCCCCAGCCTGGTGGACCCAGCCTGAACCGCCCACGGTGCAGCAGGTTTAGATAAGAGGCTCCATCCGCGGGATCCCGTTTAAGCAGTTAACTGGTTAAACTTAACATTTAACTGATTAAATAGGATTTTACATCACTAGTTTTAGATAGACAAATTTTACTTCCCTAGTTTTGGATATCTAGTTCATAGCAGTTCAGCTCTATTATCATGTACTCAACATGGAAAGAACATAAAAATAAGAGACTAAATTCTGTAAATACACCTTCACAGGGAATCAAAAACTAATATTTACGAATGCTGGTAAAAATAATGTTCAGGTACACATTCTTCAGCAAACATCACAAATTATTATTAAATAAATCACACAATTTCTTCTCCATAGCTGAATGAATACTATTCAGCAGATAACTTATTCAAGGACTATACTTGGTATACAATGAATAAGTTGTTTGTTTGTTTTTTGTTACTCAAGAATTTTTACAGTAAGGTATGCTTTTTTTAGACTCCTGTTGACTCTATATGTATATCCTTCCTATTCCCCATTTTCCCCTAATCACCATCATTTTATTAAAGTGACAATATATTAATAAGTGAATTGCCTGGAGATGTAAGAGGGGGAAGGATCAGATGGTATTAGAAATAAATATTAACATGCATACACATTTAAAACATAGTACTAATTAGCTGCCTCCATGTCGCCAACATATTAAAAATACTATTAATTTAGTAATTTACAATTATCCCTTCTCTCCTCCCTTCCCCACCAAAAAACTAACCTTTGCAGCACTACTAGTAATTAGCATTTACATAGTGCTTTTAATTGGACAACCATAAAACATTTCTGAAACATTATATAAGCTTTGATATCCCTGTTAGGTCATTTTTAGGTCACTGGTTTAACCCATGAGATGTGCAAAAGGTTATACAAAAAGTATTGTTGCAGGCGCAAACTCTGCACAAAAAATGAGCTGAAAATAAGTCAAATCAAGTGACAGAGTTCTTCAGTCACTGAAATTATCATTGCCTCATGTGAAAACAAAAACAAAGCATATTAACAATATCTGTAATATATATTTAAAATTACCGTTTTCACAACACCATTTTCAGAAGCTTCCTCTTCATTTGAAGCAGGTGGCGGAGCACTTAAACAGAAAATGCAAGCTAGTTACTATGTTTACCTACATATTACAGTAAAAAAGCACTGATACATTATTTTGAACTATAGCCAAGGTCCCAGCACTCTTTTATATGACTGTTAAGCAATATTCTGAGAGATAATTTAATAGCAACTTTATGGTCTTAGGAGACACAAATTATGCTAATATTTTTAAAGTACTATATTTTCAATTCATCATCAGGCTTGGATCCTGCATCTTTGAAAGTCAAAGAGAGGTTTTCATTGGAATACAATGGGAACAGGATTTGATCCTTGATATACAAAAATGAAGACTGAGATTTTACAATGAGCAGATTAAGACTCATCTTCCATTAAAATGATGTGCCTAAACATACCATGTTTCAAAAAATCTCTATCAAAGTTTTGTTCTCTCTGGCACAAGAGTATAAGATATTTTAGAGACAACATTTGATCATCCTTTAAATTTGTTGTAACCTAATTTGTCCATAAGTATTGAAAACTATTTGTTTGTAAAGTAATTCTGCCACTCAAATTTATAAAAAACAAGTGAACCCAATAGCCAGTTTTTTGTGGCTTCTGAGACAGCAATTAATTTAATTTCTATAATTGTGTTGACATCCTTGTTTATGCTGCACGACAAAAAACATACAAGAACCACACTGACCAATGTTCCTTAACTGAAAAGGAGAATATTGATACTTAAAAAAATATTTCCTCAAGCCTGTATGTGGGATCTGCAGTTCCAAATTATTTTTGGGTGGGCAATCAGACCAAAAAAAACAATTTGGTACTAATTTAAGTTGGCAACACTTCCGGTACTTCAATGAGAGATGCACCTGCTAGTTATCAGGGCTGAATCTGGTTCTGGGATTCACTCCCAAGTGTTTCATGTCACTGTTCATTACAATGATACACTGGCTAATGTCAAGTTAAAAAACAATAATTTAATTTAATGTTTTGAATGGTGCTAGAATTACAAGAATGGAGACTGAAGCATTAGTAATAGTACAACCTTCATCACTCTGTCCCAACCTGTAAGAAGACAGATTAGGGGTCAAGAACTAGTGATTGTCATTCAGCATATTGCCAATAGTGATGCCAATTATTGTCAATCAGGATGGCTTGTTTTGTGGTCAGATATGGCATTATTGACTAGAAACTGCAGAAATCAACTTATTTAACAACTGATCATTTTTACTGACACATAACAAATACTCTAAAAAGAAAACAGACTTTAATAATAAGATCACTATAAAGCCTTAAAAAGTAACCAATACATCAAAGAACTAGTCCAGCACATTTTAATTACTATGGCAAATACAATCTAAAGTTTATCTGCCACAGAGGCCAATCCAATAAAGATGAAAATACTTGTCTTTAAACATGTTCAAATGCAGTGAATCTCAGAGAGTGCAGGTACATTATTAACTTTCTCATGGCTATGTTCTTTCAGTATTTCTCTTCATTACATATTATACCCATACTAGCAGGTGAAGCTCGTCTTTGAGACGCGGAGCAAAGCTGCGGAGGACCTGGGCGGCGGCACCGCGGCGCGTCTCAGTCCCGCCGCCCACAACTCCATGGTCTGCTGGGGGGGGGGGGGCGCGACTGGGGGCGCCCCCCCCCCCC